TGCCCCAGGGTGCGCCCGGTGGCGGCTGCGTGAGGGGTTGGGGGGATCCTGCGGGGGGGCCTGCTCGCTGGATGCATGCGGGCAACGCGCAGCGGCTGGCAGCTGCACCCGTCCCCCCGCTCCTGCCCTGCCCCACCCGCCCGCCTCCGTGCCTGCCTACACAGTAGCATACCTGGCTGCGTACGCCTGCCTACCTGCGGCTGCCTGCTGCACACACATGCCCGCGTGACCCACGGCCCACCCTGCTGCCCCGCAGGCTCCTGCCTGGTGCTCAAGGGCCACGGCGGCGACCACGCCATGCACTGCGTGCCGCCCGTGGCCTCCCCCCGCATCTCCATCACGCTGCGCAGGTGAGGCCGGCCTGGCCCAGTCTTCCCTTGTTGTGGTCGGGCCTGGCCTGGCGTGGCCTGGCCCGGCGTGGCCTGGCCTAGGTCTTGCCTTGCCTTGCCTTGCCTTACCCTGGCCTGGCCTGCCCTGGCCTGGCGGGGTGCCCGGGATCAAAGGCCGGGGGGCGCATCGCTCGCGCCTCGTGCCACCGGGCAAGCCTCTCTCCCGTCGGCGCCACGCGGGTGAGCCTCACCCTGCCCCACACCATCGTATGGTCAACCACTGGCCTGCAGGATGGCTCCCGAGTTTGATGCGGCGGTCGCCAGGGAGGTGCAGAGCTACGAGCGGCGCCACGGGCCGCTGCATGGCTTCTGGGCTGATGAGGAGGGTGCCGCGGGGGAGGCGGCGGCGCGGGGTGGGCGCCGCAGCGCCGGCGCCGGCGCCATCACGATCAAGTGAAACGGGGCGCGGCCTGCCCGCTGCCTGTGTGTTGTAGCGGCGCATTGGAGGGCCAGCCAGCTGTGTGCCATTCGGCTGGACAAACAATCAGAGCGCCGTGCACCGCGGCGGCGGCGGCCCAAGCGCCCTGTACTGTTCTGTTGCGTTTCAGCGGCCCGTGCCGCTTCTGCTTGAGAGCCTGCGCCCGATTGCATGCCATGTGCACCGCCGACCTGCTTGTTGTCTTGTAAGGAAACCGCGGAAGCAGCTGCAGACAGTTCCTGCCGCTACGAAGCAGGCTGCAGCACGGCATTGCTGTTGGGGAGTAAGTGGGCTGCTGGTTCCCTGTGCCGCCACAGGCAGGGTGGCTCATTTGTGTTTCGTAATCACAGTGTCAACTCCGGACCGACACAACCCTCGCATCATGTGTCGTTGATGGAGGGCCCCAACAAGCTGCGAGCCAGTTATTGCGCAGTTCTTGCGCGTCCTTGGCGGTTTAAACGCCGGGATGGCTCGGTGTACCGCCTCCAAAAGCCGGCTTCCTTCGTCCCGCGGCCCTCGTCATGGGATGACCTGTCCTTTCGGAGCCGCGATGCTCAAATTGTGCTGCAGACGCCCCACCGCCTCAATTGTAAACCACATAGTTACATACTTCCACACATCCACATGACGCCCCAACACAAACTTGCCCCACTCCTTCTCCTCCTGCTGTGTCTGTCCGGAGGCTGCTCGGGGCGGACACTGACACCCCGGCGGCTCTCCGCGGGAGCATTCCTGCCCAAACTCGGGCCCGCGCCTACAATGCAGGGCCTCCAGCAAGGCCGCCCCACGACAGCGAGCGCCCGCCCCGTCTGGACGGCGGCGGCGGCCTCAGCTTCTGCCGCCGCTGGGGTGGACATCGCCAGCCGCGCCTCCGTCAAGGCCTTTTTCAACCAGGTGTACCTGGCGTCCGAGGGGGTGGCGCCCGGCTGGCACGGCTCGGTGGCCCGGTGCATGCCAAGCTCCGTCAGCGCCGCCTTCAAGCGCGCTACACGCCGCCGCATCAACTTCTTCAGGGTGCGCCCCCTCCCCTCAGCTTCCCTCTCCTCTCTCCTCTGGTCTCTTTTCTCTCTCTCCCTCCCTCTCCCTCTCTCCTGGCTATTCCTGTGTTGCGCGGCTGCATCACCCGGCCTGTGGCCCCCAAAACACAGTTTGCCCTGCCCTGCCCTCCGAGGCGAGTCGCCGCTTGCCCCTCCTCTCACCCGCCACCCCGCACCCCCTTTCACCGCAGGCCATGGCCGGCGTGCCCGCCGCCGTCTCCCTGGACGCCGCGCTGTCGCGCAAGGCGCAGGAGGCCGCCCTGCTCATGATGGCAAACGAGCAGCTCAGCCACTACCCACCCGCCGACTGGAAGTGCTACAGCAGCGGCGGCGCCGAGGCCGCAGGCCGCTCCAACCTGTCGCTGGGCAACAAGGGCGCGGCGGCGGTGGCCTCCCAGATGCGCGACGCCGGCAAGGGCAACGGCGGCGCGGGCCACCGCCGCTGGCTGCTCTACCCGCACACACGCACCATGGGCGCCGGCGACGTCGACTACCTGTCAGAGGACCCCTTCTGGTGCGCATCGGCTGCCGCATCAGCGCCAGCCACGCAGCGCTGCCAGCCGTGCATCGGTGGAAGGCCCATCCATCCTTCGTGCCTGGGGGCACTGCACCGGCTGGTGGGGGGCTGCACAGGCAGCGCCGCCTGGAGGCGAGCTGGCACCGTGACGGCACGTGCCGTGGCTCCGCACTTGCATCCCCCACCTCTGGGCGTCCGCCTTAACTGAGCCGTCACATGTGCTGCCAAACACGCCGCAGGTACGACGGATCCAACGCCCTGTGGGTGTTTGACGAGTCCAGCTGGTCGGCGCCGCGCCCCGCCACGCGCCACGCGTTTGTGGCCTGGCCGCCGCCGGGGTACGTGCCGTACCAGGTGGTCTGGGCCCGCTGGTCCTTCTCATACCCCGACGCCGACTTCTCCCGCGCAAAGGTGGCCATGAAGAACCTGCGCAGCGGCAAGGCGGTACGCGCGGTGGTGGAGGCGCAGGAGTGCTGCATGGGCGACTCCACCCTGGTGTGGCTCGTGGCGGGGCGCGGCGGCGAGGACCGCGCCTCCTGGCGGCAGCCCCTGCCAGGCAGGGATGTGGCCATCGTTGTGACCGTGCGCGGGGTGCGGGTCGGCCGCGCCACCCGCAAGTTCCAGTACACCGTGCGCATCATGGACCCTGCCGCATAATAAGCCCACTGTTCTACATGTTTCCTCTGCCTTCCAGTCAGCCTGGCATCATTTATGATGCCATCCACCAAACTACGCTTGGGTCAGTTTCCTCCACTGCTTCTGTGAGTGATTCAGCTGCACAATGTTTCAAGTGACTTGTTTTATGCATGCCCTTACGTAATTGCTTACGAATTAAACCGCAGCACGCATCGTTTTGTTAAGTGTAGAGAGAGTCAATCAACATGCAGGCAGCCAGTTTTCCCTGCCGCTGCATGTCGGATTCAGGCAGCCTGTTTTCCCCCGTCGGTTTTAGGCAGCCTGCCTCAATCTCCCGCCACCTCCCGTCCCTTTCAGGCAGGCTGCCCCAATCTGCCGCCGCCGCCCGTCGCTTTCAAACAGCCTGGCTCAATCTCCCGCTGCCACCTGCCGCTTTCAGGCAGCTTGCGCCAATCCCCCACCGCCCAGTGTGGCATTCCGGCAGCCTGCTCCACCCACCCCCCCACCCCCCGCTGCTCAATGTGGTTTTCAGTGTGCAGGGGTAGGAGGAGGGCTTCCTGAGAGCCGGCCGCTGGGCCCTGCTGGGGTCGCTCCTGGCAGCATTGCATTCAGCCCACTTGCTGCACTTAGAGCATTCAAGCATCTCGCAGCCTGCATCTGGACCAGTGTGCCTATGCTTATCACTGAGCAGCGTTGAGCGGTCATCGGAGCTGCACGTCGCCAGCGGGGCGGGCGGGCCTTTTGGTCTCCTCGAACACTTGACTGCGCTTGGCAGGTGACCAACTACGATGGTGGATGCTACAACCAGGTGGTGTTGCTTCCCATGGCCATGCCTGGAGGTACTGAAAGCCAGCAGCTGCCCCTCCTGCTGACGCCGACCGCGTGGCGGCGCCCCGTCAGCGCGTCCTCCGTCCTTCACTTTGAGTGCGGCGGCATCTACCGCAGCTTTGTGCGGCTCCCTAGCGCAGCCATGGTCCGCACACGGCGTACCAGAGCCTCACAGGCTCCTGGAGAGTCAGCGTGGTCCTCCCTGCATCCCGACCTGCTCGGCCTCTGCCTGCAGCCCCTCCAGACAGCCGGCACACGACCGTCCCTTCGAGCCTGGGCATGCGTGCTTGCAACGTGTTCGGCCTGGCGAGCTGTGGCCCTCCAGGTCTGTGGGCTGGGGTTTCGCTGCTGCCTGGTCGCTGCCTGCCCGGCTACCGCGCCGATCGCATGGAAGGGCGCTGAATGTGGTTTGAGTGGCGCCGTGGGCCTGCCATGTGCTCGGGCCGGCCAGAAAGTCAAGTTGCCAATCTCCATCTCCTGACCACGCCGCCCCTGCCCTCCTTGCAGATGCCCATAGACGCCGTCTGCTCCCCCAGCGGCCCGCTGTTGGCCTGGCTGCGGCGGGTACGCGTGCGGCGCCTG